CGACCCACTTTGATACATTCGAAAATGCTTTCTGCTGCTGCGGACAAGAAAGCCAAACAACTCACATTCACCGAGGCATTGTGTGTGTGTGTGTGTGTGTGTGTGTGTGTGTGTGTGTGTGTGTGTGTGTGTGTGTGTGTGTGTGTGTGTGTGTGTGTGTGTGTGGCCGTGGCCCAATTGCTTTTACAATAAATAAACATTGAATGTGTTTAATTGAATAGTAAAGGGGTTTAATGTTAGTGGCAGGTTGTTTGTGAGAGAGAATAAATAAGACAGCCCAATATTTAAAAAAAAAATTGTTAATCTTTTTCCCCGCATATTTCGCAACTTTCCGCATATTTCGCAATTTCACCGCATAAAATCACATAAAAACCCTGCATGTTTAATCGCATAATCAAGGATTTTTGCCCGCGTTTTTCTGGAGGGTCTAGGTTTATATCACACATACATATCGTATAACATATCAACCTACACATCACATGTTGTTAGGCTCATGTGATGTATAGCAAGTTATTTTACAAAGAACATATCAAAGGTGCAGTACATGTACTTGCTTCACATTTCTGCATAAGCATTTTGATACTAAATGTGTATTTTTTTTGTTATATCTGGAGTTTTTGGCTTGCATAAATTATAATTCAAGACATGGACATTTACTTTTTTGTCTACCTGCCACTCTGGCTAGTGGATTTAAAAATCTTCCTGCCACTCAATAGATTACCATTGGTTTTTTTAGTCTGGTGACTAAAGCAAATCTACAAAGCACTGTTTTTTCTGCTAGTGGCTGGTAGTATTAAGGGGTTTACATTCAGCTGTATCTATTGTCAAACTGAGTATTTTCTTTTTAAATAAGTTTTGCATTCGCTGTCGTGTCTCTTGAATGTTTGTGTGACTGATACATATACTTTTCAATTAACATTCATTTTTGTTGAGTCCAAGTTGCCAAATGCTTTATTTGCATTTCCAACTGCAGTTCGATAACTGACACTAAGTTTTTTGTTTTTAAATGTTCTCTCATCCCATCCTTCCAGTCTCGACCTCTTGGCACGTGGAGGAGGATTATTCCCGGGCATCAAACATTGACCGGTCCGTCCTTCCGACAGCACCTCGCTCAGCGCGTGAACCCGATGTGGACCGCTCCCGATTGCCCCGCAGCCCGCCTTACACGGCCTTCCTGGGCAACCTGCCCTATGATGTCTCTGAGGAATCGATCAAAGACTTCTTTCGTGGCTTGGCCGTAAGTGTAGCAAGCGTGCATGTAGTGTAGGGCTTAAAGCACATGGCACTTAGTTGTTACAGCTACTGCTACTCTTGGCTATGTAAGCAAACGCAAACAGTGGAACTCTCCTGAACATCTTGACAAGTTAGTCAGTAGGGATGGGTATCGAGAACCGCTACTAAGTCAGTACCGGAACCTGATTGGATGCTATTGGTATACCGTTAAGCCGCTGGACAAACGGTGCTGCTATCGGTATATGAATTACGCTACTTCCTTAGTTTGAACATTTCTGGTTGGTTGGGAACCCCTCATCCCGTGTGACGTATCCGGTTTGAGTACCACTCTGATTGGCCACTGTGAATGCCACTCGTCATCTCTCCTAACAGCGCTCTTATTATTGTGAGACTCCCGGGGGCAGACCATAGGGGCAGAGATCTTGCTAGAAACAGCGTCTCAAGGCTTCTTAACATTAAATACCCACTTAACGGGAAGAAACTCAGCTAACAGACGATATTAACCATTTTACCTACACGGAACAGAAGTCCAACACCAAGAGTCTAAATCAACACTTAGCAAAACGGGCTAACGTGGCTAACGGCTACTTTAGCACATAACTGGCAAAAGCGATTTTTTCTTTTGTTCTTTTTTTCTACAAGTCTTTTTATTTCATTATAGTGTACAGTAATCAATGCCATTTCATTTATATTGTAATATCACAGTACACTCACTACACTCCCTCCATCCGCACATGCCCACACAGGTGAAACCAAAAAATGCTTATCAATATAACTTAAACAACAGAGCCATAAAAATGAAATTAAAAGGGAAAAACAAAAACAAAAAAACCACATCAAAGTAAAAAAAACTAATAATTATACAATACAGTGACAATGTAGACAATGACAACACCACAACGAGTATTTCCGGCCGTCAGGACAAATAGCCACAGAATGCACCATTCCATCACTGGTCATATCTCAGATATATTTTCCAAATAAGAAAACAATGGCAACCACAGAGCTTGAAAAATATGTCCACGATTATATTTTTCCAATGTCATTTTCTCCGGAGGTAAAAAATGTGTTATCTGATCAATGAAAAGTTTAAATGTTGGGGGGCGTTCATTCTTCCAGAGTAAAAGTATACATTTCTTGGCAATTTTTTTTTATTGTGATTAGTATTCTGCAATGTATGGGGTTCAGTTCAAAGTTTGGCATGTCATTTAACAGCAAAAAACATGGATTTAGGCTAATTTCGATGTCTAAAACGGCTTTTGTGGGAGCATCAATCGAATCCCAGAAAAGTTTCAAGAGATCACATTCCCAAAACAGATGCATACACGTTCCTTTTATTTTACATCTCAGACATTTTGGAGAGTTTTCTTTGGAAATTGTATGCATCTTTATGGGTGTGAGGTAACATTTGTTGATACATTTAAAGTTTGCTTCTTTGATTTTATTGCTTGTGAATGGAAAATGTGCTCTTTCACAATATTTAAGTAGTTTCATCTATCTGTATCCCCAAGTCCTTTTCCCAGATATTTTTTAAAGTTAGAAAGGATGACTGAGCTCTTTTAGAAAAAACTGCATTAAATTCACTAATTGTACCTTTGATCGTGCTCGATGAAATCAATATCTCCTCCTCTTCTAACAATCCCGATCTCAATTTATTGCTTTTAATAATTGATTGGATCACGTTCCTAATTTGCAGGTATCTGAAAAAATCCTTATTTGAAATGTCATATTCTGCTCTTAAATCATTAAATGATTTCAATGTTATATCTTTGTGAAACAAATGTTTCAATTGCTTTATACCTGATTTCGTCCATTTGTTTATATTGATTGACAACAAATATTTGCTAAGATCAGGATTGTTCAAAATAGGAGAAAAGATTGAAATACCTGAGTTAACATGAACTTTTTTTGTACAGTCCCTCCAGGCCAAAAGTGTATTGACCACTGTAAAACATTTGGCCATATTTTTCACCTTTTTGAAGTCTTTAACAAATATAAGAGTTTC